TTTCATAGATTGGACTCATCGGAGAAGGTTATCACTTTCAATAGTTTTCAAATGACCTCATTAAGAGGATTACGTCGAAAGCAGTTTTGCGCTACCTTAGTCACTGCAGAAATATCTCACCAAGGGGAAGTGTCCATATTTGTTGAATATTATTCAATGTCCATCATGGTATTAGCCAGGGAATAGCCGTTTCTCGGCAAGAATTCAAAAGATCTTGCTGTTGCAACGTTGAGAAATTTCAAGATTGCATTTCGAAATATTTATTTTTTTATAAGTATTAATCTCCTTGATACAGTCATCAGACTTATTTTGACTTCTGTTGAAAATTGGCGTTACATTTTTCTATAGTTCAGAAGACAAACTCAGGAAAGTGATCAAACATATTTGTAGAACTTGGTGAGAAAACACCTAGTTAAAATGATGCTAAGATAATGTTGGTACAGAAGTTTTAAAGAGACTTCAAAAACAAGCACTTTCTCCAAACACCTGCAACATTTTTCTCGACGTGCTTTTCCTTAATCAAGTTGGCGTCTTCAGGAGATAAGTCAATGCAAGAGGTTCCAGTTCTACTTTTCAATACTCATTACTTTTTCTGTACAATTGAAGAAAAGTACAAGCTGAACATCAGTTTGATGAAACAAATGCCGTCGTTCATTTTACAGCATTTTATTCTTTATTACAAGTTCCCTGGCTAATCCGACTACCAAATAATCAAGTCTTCAATAGGAAAATTCCAGGAGAATGTTAATTTGTGTTTACATTGTTAATCCGTCGTAGGCTGAAGCATAAAAACAGTGCTAGTTGAAAGGGAAGTCTCAATTATTTGTAATTTGTGCAATTCGAATAAATTATAGTAGGAGAAACTGAGGGATTTCGACCTTCCTATGATTGTGTGAAAAATTATATTTGATGTTAAAAAAAGTAAATTTATCGTGTATTTTCAACATCTGTTTCGGCTTTTTTTTTGTTTTTCCTCTCAGTTACAAACATTTAATTTTTATATCAACCCATTGCGCAACACGATGAGACTTGTGAAGAATTTATATCAGAGAATTAGATTGAAAAATTTCACATCAAATCGTGACATACCTACAACAATTATTGTTCTTGCGAAATCTTACCAAAAGGTCATACCTACTTCAACAATGAGGATTGCAGATTGGAATTTTCGGTAAAAGATTGAATAGACTTTGGACTATCTGGAATTTCAAGTTACAAATTGGGATTCTTCAACTATTTGATAAGGTGCAAGTTGTCTTCCAGGATATGTACAATTTGAAATGAATGAATTTGTGAAAAATTCCTTCAATGAAAGCTGAATAGATCGTAATTATTGGATACCATAAAAGTTGGTTTAATTTTTCGTGAATTTTTTCCACAACAATTTTTTATGGAAACAAAGATTTTGGCTTTCTACTTCTTCATCATTTCACAAAAAATGCGGAAATCTTACGAATAAACGAAGGAAGCAACTAATTCCAAGATAAACTCATCACAAAGATGTGTAGATTATGCAAAAAGGACCTTCCAGACACAAACTGGAAAAAAAAGCCCTCTCGAAACAACTACTTTCGTAAGTTTTGCTAGCTCGAACTTCCATTGTCTTATATGGTATGATATGATTTGAAATCTCTGAAAGAACATATAAAGTTAAAAAGTAAAATGAATAGCTGAAAATAATTTTATTTGTTTTTTCAGAGATTTCAAATCATATTATATCATATTAGACAATGAAAGTTCGAACTACTAAAATTCACCACGAAACATTGTCAACCACTTTTAAACAAAATACTTTCATGTGAATATTGAACTACATAAAAGAAAAAATATTTTCGAAACAACTTCTCAAATATGAACACTGAATAATAAAAAAATATTTTTTCTACAGATGCTATACAATGTGCCACTTCTCTCATCGCTTTCATACATTAAAATCGAAAGATTTCTCACGCAGTGAGAAATATCCGTCATTACGGTGAGAAATAATTTTTCACTGTTATCACCATAACCCAAGTCAGTCATGAATCATGAATTGTTACATGTCAGATTGATATGACACATTCTCCATGTTGATAATGCTACGGCAACGATTCGCGTACAATATCCAAGTATCCCATTGTCGACGTTTTCATAACAACAAAACCGAGGCACTGCATAATAATTGCTGTCAATTTACCCAACGAAAATAGTATTGTTAATTGTTATAGTATAAACATTCGTGATATACTGTTTGGAACCTTTGGTGTAGTAATGAATATTACCGGAGTTTTTTCCCAACACCAAATCGTTATTTTTACACCTCGACACGTGTTTCGATTGGTTTTGATTTCAGGTTGCTTTAGCTATTGGCCTTAGAGGGGCATGCCGTTGTGATGAACTTCTAAAATTAAAAATTGATGACATGGAAGATCTTAATTCGGCCCTTTTAATAAAATTACCCGATACTAAAACCAAGGAACCAAGGTTCCGAGAAATTTCACAGTCACAGGAGAATTCTACCAAATTTACAAAAAATATGTGAAGCTTCGACCATGCACAAATGAAACAAGTTTTTCTCAAATTACAAAAATACCAAATGTACGAAATAGCCTGTAGGGATGAATAAATGTGGCACCATGGCGAAAGAAATAGCGAAATTTTTGCAATTACCGAACCCTGAATTATATACTAGCCACTGTTCCCGAAGGTCATCTGCGACTATTTTAGTTAATGCAGGGGCAGATCTTTTAACTTTAAAACGTCATGGGGGTTGGAAATCCAGCAATGTTGCTGAATCTTATATCGGCAACTCCATAGCTAACAAATTGAAAATTTCAAAAAGTATAGTAGAATCCATTCAGCCTCCAGCGCCATTAGAACCTGAACGCAACAATGCTGTGGAAGCTCAGTACGTTTCCCCATCAACTTCGACTTCAACATGTTGAAACAAAATTGTTAAAATATAACTGTTAATTACTATTTTAAATAAAATATAAAAATGAGTTAATGACATACAAGTATTATTATATATGTATTTTGATTTTCAATACTTGAAAACAACGCAACTGTAGAAAAAGTACAGTAAGAGAAATGCGTGAGAAAATAACATATTTCTCACTCGCTTGATTTGCGCAAACTTCTTCAATTTCAATTTCAACAAACTTCTGCGCTCGTGAGAAATATGTCATTTTACTCACTTATTGTAGAATATACTATTTTTTATTCAGTTTGTACTCCAAACATTCTTTATGGAATTGAATCAGATATCATTCACAATATAGTGTGTGAAAGAGGTGGAATTTCACTTACATAAAACATTGTCATTCTCAATGGCGGACATCCGATGTTTTGGAATACGACACTTGTCTTATTGCCTCTTCAGCATCAATCTGGATAACATCGTCATATGAAGCACTCAATTCATTCATGAAATCACAACTTCATGTCACTCAATTCATTCATGAAATCACAACTTCATGTCACGAATGAGTTAAATCTACTCGTGTCATCGATGATGGTACGGAATAACATTCGTTCGTTTATTTGATTTAAACCCAGCTATATAAATCTTGTTTGAATTGAAAAGGGTATATTTTCAGAAGGGAATATTTTTTTGGAAAGAAAATTTTAGCTTTCTACTTGTCCATCATTTCTTTAAGATCAAAATATAGCACTGTATTTCAAATTAGCATTGTAGCACTATCCATATATAAGTTTGAAATCATCTTAATAATTATAATAATAATAATAATATCGTCTTTATTATCTTCTAATACATTTAGCAAATTAATTATG